AAAGCTAAAATAAAAGCTTGTGCTGACACACATTTCCTCTCTCCATCCTCTCTTGTACAGCATCTTTCTTTCTTTCTCTCTAATCTTTATACTCCACACACATTTTTCCCTCTATTCCTCTGTCTGTGGTCTGGGACGAGATGTGGCGCTATTATCTCCAGCCAGCAGGGTTATTAATGGATCGCATACGTATCAGACAAACATGGATCCGATGGTTGCCATGGGAACTGCATCCGCAGCGCCCCAGAAAGCAGGGAGAGAGAGAGAGAGAGGGAGAGGGAGGAGGATGAGGAGAAGTGGTATGTGAAGTGAAAAACAAGAGGGGGAGGGGGGAGGAGCAGCAGCAGTGGGGCGGGTGATTAATGGAGAAAGAGGAAATGGAGAAGGAGGGATGGAGGGAAAGAGGAGAAGAGAGAAGCCCACTTCTATCAGTCTGAAATATTTGATTCAGCAGAAAGGGTGACCTTGGTGAGGAAGACAAAGGCAGCTTGGCTTTCTGTCTCTCTGTTTTTCTTATCACTTCTCTCTACCACCCTCTCTCATCCTCCTTATCTCTTACTCTTCTAAATGATGTTGGTGTCATCTCCAGATATAACAGAAAATGCACTTTGACACATTTATTTAACAACATTTTGGTTCTTAAATATTCATTAATCTCTGCAGCTAAACTACTCAACAACAGATAATTCTTCCAAAAAGAAAAACAGCATGAAGGAATGTCCTTCTTTGAATTCTGCTTATTTTATCACATGTACTTTACAATCCGGTACGATGGATCGGTGCATGACCAAGCCACTTTAAATATATTTTCTCTGTCAGAGTAATAAAATGTCACAGTCACATTGGGTTGCATTCTAGTTTTTAGTGTCACAGCAATCACAAAGATTATTTTCATTAGTTCGAGCAGTGAGGAAAAGAGATCTTAAATTTTGGGAAGACACCATGAGCTTGGTATCAGACGGGAAATTGTTGGATCGGTGCATCCCTAACTCCAGGCTTATAATATACATATAACAATATAAAGTTTAAACTTAACCTTAAATTACAGATATGATATGAAGGAAAGTTTAATGGGGAGGTTCCTACTCCTGAAATTGATGTGACATGATCAGCTAGATATAAGACATCTCACTGTAGCTGAATGTTTTGTACCCTACTCCTTGCTAATGCGAACAGCTTAGTGTATCTGTGCATTTTGCCAACATCAGAACTCAAGGTGTGCTCAAATAATTCTTCACATTCACACACTCACATTTCTAAAATGACCTCACAAGAAGAACGTAACACTGACACTGAAATGACATGGTGTGAAAAATACAATAGATAATAGTCTTTAGAATATTTGCAGCTAAGGGGATATGAAAAAAAAAATTCACACAAACAAACTGAATGGAAAATAATGAACCAAGCACACTGACGCCAACATCTCTGCAGTGAGTCTGACGGCAACAGCTTACTATTGCAGACGAATGTGATACATGATAGGTTAACCTGAACCATGAGAAAATCAAATTTGACTATAGCAGATCAATACAGCTGTACTTCTTCTCCATAGTCAACAGCTTTCTCCTTCCCCAGTGCTTATTTTTCACTTGGCATTGTTTGCACCTCGATCTCACCTCCCTCCCTCCCAGCTCATTATTTCAGACTCACACTGTCTGTGTTTCCTCCTCTGTTCTAAATCCACTTTTTGTGCCCCCCTCACCTCCCCAAGCAGTCCGGCGTAGCCCTCCAAATCCCTTCTGCTGTGTCAGATGCAGACAGGGGGAGGCTAAATGTTCAGGTCTTTGGGGAAGGGGGAAGGAGCAAGGGCAGAAACTGAATTTTACCACATCGCTCTGACAGATCAATGAAGGGCTGTGTACTGCATGCTACTGCTGACTCATACTGTAGGGTGGGGATGGGGTAAGGGGTGAATAATGAGAAGGAGTAGGAGGGAGACAGAGAAGGACAAAGGGTGATGGTGGAGGTTAGAGGAGAGTAAGACAAAGAAAGTGTGAATTGATGGTACTTGAAGACAGATATGAGGGAGGTAAAACTATAAACATCTGTCACAGAGACAGATCTGGGGAGTTTACAGTGGGGGAGGGAGGAAGAGTGACAAGGATGTCCTCATGCTCACTATAGGTTTTAAGCACTAGAATAAATAATCAGGGGTTGCAACAAACACTTAATCAAGTGATTCCCAACTTGGGTATTGGAATCCTCCACAGGGTCACAAGATGAATGTAAAGGGGTTGCAAATTTATTATTAGCTGAAAAAACAAAAGGTTCTGCAATATAAAAGAAATGTTTTTATGGCTTAAGAGATGGCAATATATTTCTGTCTGTCAGTCCGCCACTTTGGTTTAAACTGAAACAACGATTAGCATGCTAACAGACAAAGTTCACTTATTCATTTCATAAGATTTCCTGCTTTAAATAAATTAGTGCCAGTTTTTGTAGAGCTGCTTGTGATTATACAACATTTAAGAGTTTAGACTTTTTGTTAAATGAAAAAGTATAGAATATTGTGTTTATATATCTCAAGGTAAGGTATGGTTATAGTATCTGAAGCTCATATACTGCACAGAAAAAGAAGAAGAATCCAATTCCTCTATTCCTTTAAGAAATTACTATAGTTTTATTTCAACGTGTGCACACAGTGCTGCGCGGCTGATTATAGAGTTGTAATAGCCTTGGATGAGTAAATGAATGACTTTTGGAAAATTAAACTGAAATCGTTCGTAAACAGTCCAAAAGTCCAAACAAATCCAGCTGTTAAGGAGCTAAATTTTCCCACTTCCCTTCAATGAGGGTGATGTAACACCTCGTCAAAGTCTTACTCAACTGTGTATGGAAAGATTACCACCACGTCAGTTTGTAATTATCTTTTTAGTGAAAAAGTGTCATTTCCACACATGCCCTTCTATTTATCGTCTCTATGAATACACTTATTTCCTCTTCCAATGTAAGCTACATGATTTCAGTATCACCTTATCAGCAATTCTCTTTTATAGGGTTTTAGTTGCAGTTATATTGTGTCCTTTAATTAAAAGAGCACTCCAGAGATCTAGTATTACACTTCCATAAGGTTCACAAGAGACCGATTTAAAAGAGTGGTCAAAATGGAAACAGCAGATGCCAAGATATCCTGACTTTTACTCCACCAAGCTCCAAAAACAAAGAATCCTACAAATCCCATAATGCAACTTGGTAACGTCTTGTATTAGCTGATGATGTCCACGTCCTTCCACACCCACAGTTTGTAACTTTATTTTATAAACCAGTAGTCTCCCAAGCTGACTGAGTCCTGAGGACATCACATTATTTTCTCAGATTTTACAAAGCTCCCCAAAGACACGAAAGACACTGTACTGTTCTTACAAGCTGTAAAGTCTCTCCATTACTAGAAAAAAGGACTCTTACAAGTAAAATTGGTGGGGTGCCCCCTTATATATTGGTGTATACACCTCCAACATAGCAGTGGTTTCTTCCATAAAATAATATAAGAATATTTCAGGGTGTTTCTGCGATGATGATATTCTTGACAATATGACAAAACACAGAACAATATTTTGAGCTCTACTCGCAGGATTTTTGGCTCTCCTTGTACTCAACAGGGTGCTTCTGCTTGGGGTGGTGAAATAGGTTTGCTGTATTGCCCCTTTTTGTTCTTATAGTTTTCTTGCATTTCTCACATATTACCGTGGTTTTTTGTACACCTGATCTTTTGTAACCAAACCATTTCCAAACTACTGTAGTAGCTCCCCTTTTTGGAACCGACTCTTCCATTGTGGTGCTGATAGCAATGTTACTTTTGCTTTCAGCCGTGTTCGTTGTTACAGTGTGTAATGGTATGATGTCATTATGTCAACAAGCTGGAATATTGCCATTAACTGATTTGCATTTTTTAAAATGAAATAAAAAAATGCCGATATATTGTGGATGATTTGATATGATACACCGCTAATTACCAATGCAAGTAGTGTGCCATATACATATACGTATTAGCGAGACAGAACGTAAGTCTTGAGGCTGTTATGGTGAATTGTGCGTCCTGTCACAGACCTGCAGTTAACATTTGTTCAAGTTGATCCACTACTTTCTGACACCAACGTTTGGAGGCAGAAGTGTGCCCCATGAGGTAGCAGTATGAAACTAAAAGAGTAAAAGAAGACCGTGAGCGTGAGAAAAATCAAAACAATAGACCTTCTGACATGTTAAAAGCACAGGTGTAACTAATAAGATAATAATGATGAAAGCTCCATTTAAAAAACAACATCCATCATGCAAAATACCAGAGCCTTGGCCATGGAACATCTAACTGGAATGTAGCCATACTGTTAATAGTTACCGTTGTGTTTGACAAGTGAACACGTGAGAAAGGTGTATGCAGAAACAAGGATTTAAGGGTCGGAGAAGCTACTCAGCAGGTTTGTAAGATCATTAGGAAATACATTCTGGTGAGAAAAGCTTTTTAAGGTAACTTCAAGCAGCAGTTAAAATGGCTACTAGATCGGATTACCTGAGTAGAATAAATAAAAGCAAAACAACAAAACTTTCTGGGTGATGCACAGAGAGCCATTGCATTACTACACATACACAGTCCCACATTAATTCCTCAGGAAATTTCACTTCGTCTCCAGTCCTTACAGTGATGTCATGATACATACTGAAAACAACAACAACCTGTGATCTATATTCATCTAAACCCAACAGAAAACAACACATCACGGGCATCCCTAATAGAATAACAAGCAGTAGTTTGCTCTTAGTAGTAGCCTTTCCAACAGAAGAAAAAATAAAAAGCAAATATCTGTAGTAAATTCTTTCAGAAAAACTGAAATATTTTGCCAGGAATATTTGTGTCTCAGTGAGTCCCTTTGAGGTTGTAACGATCATAACTACATCTGATATGATGATTGTGGTGCTACTCTTTTCCGATCCTGATAAGGTGATCAAAGGGCCAAACAAGCAAACCCAAACAACCGCAAAAAATTCTAGTTCTGTCAATGTTATGTAATGCTGAGAGTGTAGCAGGTTGTGTTGTGGGAGGATGAGATGAAGCTGATATGAGGTCTGCTGGCCTTTAAAAACAAACGAAACAGCAGGCAGCGTGGCGAGAGACAAAGCATCAAGACTGCAGGTAAGACTACATCTGTGACTCTTATTTTACTCAGTATAGCGTTTGTATTTTGCCTTTTAATTTCTTGATATAATCTGTGCCCTTAAACTATTTCTGCCCTGCTTGTTTTTAAGAGACATCTACATTCCTTTGATTAAGCTTTTGTAAGTTTTAAGAACTGGCATTTTTGCTCAATATGTACTAATGTTCTGGGCCAGTATTTATCAAGCTTCTCAAAGTGCCATTTTAGTTGTAAGTGCTGAGAATTCATGAAATTTACTCCTACTTTTAAACTTAAGAATAAAAGCAAGTTATCTAATTTCTTAAAGCTAAGAATCGCTCTTACTCTCCCAGTTATTTAAGACAGCTCCAGAGGTCTCTCAAGTGGTTAGGAGCTGCCAGTAAGGGCTTGTGATGGCACGGTGGAGACAGAGACAGGCGTGGATCTTTCAGGAGAGGAAGAATTTCAGAAATATTTGACGACGCACAGTTAATCAGACGGGGTCGCATAAACTTTGTCAGGGAGTTGGTGAGGGATGTCATCTCACCACTGACTTTACGCAGTAATGCGTTTTCAGTTAAATTGAAGGCGGTGATGTCACTTTGTTTCTCTGACACAGGACGAACACAGCAATGCTGATGATTTTGGCCCGTCACAACCATCAATAAGCCGAATAGTCCTGGAAACAATTATAGCACTTAGGCTACAGCTCCACACATTGTCACGCGTTTCCCCCCCGTAATCCAACAGAAGCAAACACAGTTCATGCAAAAAGCCGGCAATACAGGAGAAGTAGGCGCATTGAAGGCGCTCATATAAAGAAACTTTTATCTTTAATTTATTAATGCGTAGGCCTATATCGTAATGCATTATCTTAAAAATGATCTATTGTTAAATGTGTGTTGAATAAAAACTCCTCTTAGGAATTTCACTATTCAATGTGAATTTATCTGAGAATATTCTTAAATAAGGAAATCTATTCAGTGATTGGTCCATGGCTACATCGTCATCCAAAATCCTGTTTGCGGCACAGCAAAGTGTCATAAATCAGCACAAAGACTGACACTTTAGATTTAGTCCTACATAGAAAATAGCCGAAAGAGTAGCTCAAAAGGCTTGTCATGAACAGAAAAATCATTTAAATGTTAATTCTGTTTTCTCCATATTTGTGCTTAACCTACTTATCCTTTAATTTTTTTTCACATCATCTTTGTAGGTCTCCTCTTTACTAATACATATTACGTTATACCGATACATTTCCATATTTTTGGTGGTTCACCTTGGTTCACAAAGAAAGTATATTGTATTCACAAAAGGAAAAAATAAAAGAAATTAGTTCTTGCAATAATGATTTCCATTTTACATATGTCATACACGTGACATAGCAGCTCTGTCATAATAATGAGGAAAAGACCACATGATCGTTATGTGGTCCTCATCCTCTTATCAGAGAAGCCTCATGACAGGATCACTGGGTTTTCTGACATTGTTTAAATGGGAGGGAAATTTTAAACAAATAAAATAAAAGGTTGCACTGGGATCTTTGATGGAAGGTTTGACATATGTAGAAAACTGGGTGAGGGTTTTAGCAATGGGATCAGCTTTTATCTGAGAAGAATCGCAGATTGATCCTTGTTAAACTGGAAGAAGTTACAAGCCATCTCATCTTCATATCCTTGAGTATTCCACAACTCACAATTTATGCTAATGTTCATGCAGTGGGGTAAAAAATAATGAGACGTACAATTAACGATCTACAATCTTTCCTTAACGACAAAGTGGTTGCCATGTGCACATATTAGAAAGAACAAATTTAAAAAATACCTGGCATTGGACATAAAATAATTGCTGTCATTTGCAGATTTGTCCATTATCAACATTCTTGTCCGGTAACAGTGGTTGCCTCAAGACTTAAGTTTCAAAATATCTTTAAATTATTGTTTGGTTCAGGGTGAAACAATTGAGTGTCATCAATCAACAGTAAAGTCAAAGAAATTATAATTCTTTATGATTTGAGGAAGCAAATAATTTGGGTCCTAAGAGTGATCCTGAGTGACCCCACAGGGATAACGAGCTAAGCAGGATATGAAACCCATGTTGACAGAAAAAAGTCTGATAGATTAAGGTAATGTTAGGAATACCAACTTCATTTTGAAGGCAGTTAATCTGACTGTTATGGTCCACTGCTTCAAAAGCAGACATGAGGTCTGTTATGGCAGAAAATTGTGTCCTCTTACATTTAATCTTTTATGGATGTTCTATTATTATTATTACTATTACTATTATTGTTATGTCTTATAGATATATATATTGTGTTTTTATCCTTAATCTTTCCTCTCCTATACTCCTTATGTTAGTCTGTCCACATTTACTAGAGTTTAGGTCAGAGCTGTGAGGTTGTTTTGGTGTTTTTCCCCTCTTGTTTTTCCTCTCCTCTCCTGAAATGTTCATTCAAGGCCGAGAGAGGATCTCTGTTCCCCAAAACATAGAAACCTAGACTGTGTAAATGATGATGCATCCCTTTGCTTGAGGCCAGACGCTCGAAGCTGCCCTAGGCAGCAGGTCTCTGGACTATGTGTACTTCTGTGTTTATTCTCTTTTGTTAAATAAATTCTTCAGAAACAACTGTTGGTTGTAACTCAATTATTTGCTCATCCCCTCACCAGGAATATAATTTCCATGACAAGGTCTATGTGGAGTAAAATAGTACTTCAGAGTGTGTCATAAGACCCTCATAAGGGCTTATTCTTTACTGTGTAAATCTATCTACCTACATTAAAATACAAAGATCTGTCGTTCCTCCTCCACAGCCTCCTGTGACGCCATGGCCCTCATGTCCTCCAGTCTTCCACTCCTCCTGTTGGCCCTGTGCAGTCTGACTGTGGCTGAAGCCCAGCTGAAGGTGTTTAAACTTCGGGCTACCAATCTTCCCTCTGACTTGTTGGGAATCTCAGATGGCTATGTCAAGGTGTTCAGTGGCTCAGCCACTCTGGGTCAGACATCCATCCGTAACAACAATGCAAACCCCTGGTGGGAGGAGGAGTTCACCTACTTTAAGGCCCAGCAGAATGATATACTGAGGCTTGAGGTTTATGACAGTGACGTCATCTTCGATGACCAGCTGGGAATCTGCCAGAGACAAATCAAGGTGGGAAGCCACGAGCATGACTGCTACCTGAAGAAAGGAGGGACCCTTCATTACGCCTATACCCTTGGTTGAAACATTCAATAGGCCTTTAAAGGCAGCCTGTATTACCACAGCATGACTACACCTTGATGTATGGTTTTAAGTGACTAGTGTGTAGATTCTCATTACACATTCAAGTTCCCAGAAAGATCTAAACTGCTTCAATAAACCATGTGAACATTGATTCTGATCTCTTAAGTTTCATAATTGACTTTTAAAATGTTTTTTTTTTTTTTTTTTTTAAATGTCATTGAATATAACAATATAAATTGAAGAGCAACTTGCAGTTTGGAGACCTCAGTGAAAATATACATTTACTGTACATGATGTAACAAAAGGGAGGAGTTAGGTCTAGTTTATCATCCTGAAGTTTTGATCCCAGTGCTGGTTTTGACACAGAGGTTAAAAATGTATATTCACACGCATATGACAGACCACAGCCTTTTAATTATGAGACTGGTAGGTGTCCAAGAGACCAGGAACAGAACAGGATTATAGGAAATAATGACCATAGTAGAGAAACTGAGTTGTGTTTGAGAACCCGTGGAGAACTCGGCAGGTGTCCTGGCAATAGCTAACGATATCTGACAGCTCTGTGACCATTACTCCTGACGACGGCAACCAGAAACTGCTGCTGATGCCATCCTGAACTCAGTCATATCCCCATATATCCGATAGTCCAGTCTCTTCACCTGCACAACATGCACCCAGGCATTAGAGCCTTTGCCTGTCCTTTTTCAGTTAGTAAAACTGATAGTTTGTGTAACCTGCGTTAAAAAAAAAAGGTGAAATGCAATGTAAAACTTAATAACAACAAGTTTTACAAATAGGAGATATAGCAGTTGTAACACCCCCTAGTGGCAGAATATCCCAAGATTGCTCAGCGAAGCTCAGACCTAGCATCTGAACATGTTCTCCAAGTCGTGGTACAGAAGCTTAAGCAAATTTTGATTTATTAGCATTTATGTAAAATTTCACTTAACTTTAGATCAATGAAGTCTGTAGATGATCCAGCGGGATAATTGTTCCAAAGGATTTTGACTAGTTGACGTACATAGGATTTTGAGAAAATTGAGAAAAACCTGCAAAATGTGATGCTTTTAGAGCTTTGCTGCTTGGACCCCTAATGATACCCAACCGTTATCAAAATTGTTGACACACAGAGAGGACAGCAGACTTGGGTAAGACTTGGGTTAATAAAATCCAGTCTCTCTCTCTCGCTCTCTCTCTCTCTCTCTGTCTCACACACACAATCAAACTTCTGTACAGGGTTTTTCATTAGTCACCATCTACACTGACAGCGGTGGTAGCAGTTGGTGGAGCAAAAACCAAGCTGTTGCTACAGAAACAATCCACAGTGCTTTTCCAAGAAACCAATTCTTGCTGCTTACACAACACAGAAACCACAATGACAGGAAGATAAGAGGAGATTATGAGAAGCAGGCATTTACAAGTGTCGGTCATGGGGCAACTTTGTCATTAGGTCGTGCGAGACAAATACAGATAGAGTAGGAGAGAGAAACTATCAAGAATAATTGTAAACTCGTTTTGCACGTTAACATGGTCTAAACATGAAAAAACAACCTATTTTTATTGCTTATAAGTAAATATTTCTGCCTTTTCTGTTTGATGGAGCGAAATCTTTAAACTGCAGTTTACCACCTGTGAGAATAGAGGATGTGGATTAATAATTCAACACTAAGCTATTTTTACATTCAGTGTAAGTGTGAAGCAGAGTGGAAGAGTGTGATCTAACACTGGCAGAAAAATAAACCGCTATAAGTGTTGGAAAACTGAAGAGGAAATTATTTGAAAATTTTGATAATATTATGTATTACACCTCAGTATATAACTTGTCAACTTTGGTTGTCTTCTGAAGGTCAATATTCAAGTCCACTACAGGAGTACGGGGTTAAACTTCTTGTTCAAGGGCACAGCAGCCGTAGCAGAGACATTCATTTTCCCTGACCAGATTTCCCCTTCTGGTTTCTTCTGTCACAGTAGTTTATCTTTTGAGGGGTTGACCCCAGGTGTACTTTCTTTACCATATATTTCTTCCTGTGTTTATCATTTATATATATAAATCTCTCTCTCGCTCTCCATATATATATGAATGCATGTAGGAAGAGTCGAGTTCGACTAACAACAAAAAGCATCAACAGCAACACGAACAGATCAGAAACCAGGGAGACATCTTATTAAGTATGATAAAACGACTTATCTGGGTAAATTGGGAATAAAGCTCTGTCTCTAACATAAAGCTAATTCAAAAAGGCTCAAATCCTCTCACAAGAGAATTTTACGGTAATCAATAGCAGAGGGTGGAACATATAGTACGGTCTTTTGGATCGCCTGAATGTCTCATTGATTTTACAGAGTTTGGGTGTGACAGATGCAGAGTGTCCGCTCTAGTATTCTGCCAGCAGATTGTGGGAGTGCTGCAGTCGCTGCAGCGTGGGGTGCATGTCCACACCCACACCCACCCCCACCCACACCCACACACACACACCCCCTCTAGGGAGACAGAGAGGAAGGGGGTGGTCCTGTCTCATCTAAATATAGGGCTCAACAGCAGCACAGTCTTAAATATTTCATTACCTCTTCTCCAGAAATGAAGAAGGGGGAGCTAGGGGAGAAAAAGGGAAAGATTTGGAGAGAGGCAGAGAGAGGTGAGGAATTGGAGGGGGCCACAAGGGGTTCATCAGTACAAAGGGGATATAGTCAAAAATAGGAAGCAGAAAAAAAGCATTAAAGAGAGAGACAGGAAAAAGAAGGATAGGGGAGAAAGGGAGAAGGGAGGCTGAAGGCATGGGAATGTAATCCCCCCTTCATGCTAAATAAAGTATTTCTGAATTTCTCTAGACAACTGGTGCGTCATGGCCGATAAGAGGGTTATCTTCTTATGTATGCATTGCCGAAATCTCTGAATCACTTCAGTCTGAGGCAACTCGGCGAGGTATAGATAAGTTTCTGCTTTAAAACAAATATCAGAAATATGCCAGCCTTGACACTATCTCAGAGAGAAAACCACTCCAGTACTCAGAAAAATCAAAATTCACAACAACATGAAAAAACAGATTAATGCCAAGCAGATTTGGAAACTGTCAAAAACAAGTCGCGCTTCACTGAAACTCAAGTATCCAAACATAGCTATGACAAGAAGAAGGTTTATTCCCAGCAGCGGTGTCATTCTGCTTTGGCCTCGCTGTCAATTTGAGGCGGATAAAGTGTTGCTTTGTTGCTGCTGTAAGCTGCCCTTCTCTCTGCTCGCTATTGTGCATATTGTGCACTGTGCAGCATGTTGAAGGAGAGATAAAGGTTAAAGCCACATCTACAGGGAGCTGCAGTGGTGGGACACTGCATGAAAAAGATCATACCGTACGAATACACAAACACGAACATAGTCACATGCAGACTGGCTCTCAGGAATTCCTCCTCATGCAGACACACATACACATTCATGCAGTCAGAAAATCATGCACACACACACATATTGCACATGCTGGTGTACCCTTTGTTCTGTATTACAGTGATGGATGAGTTGGCATGCGAATCACACGGAGGGTCATTACATGAGGCCCGGCGGAGGCCAGACACCCAGAGAGATGGGCTCTACAACGGAACAAGATACCGTCACAGAATGGCAATGATCGAACAATTGTACACCTCCCCTACACGCAGACAAAGCTGCGTGCGCACACGCACACACACACACCAAGATAAACAGATGCAGGCACATCTGTCTGTATACACAATTCTGTCTGTCTCTCTCTCTCTCTCTCTCTCACACACGCGCAAACACAATCATACACACAAAGAGAGTCAAACACGAACACACAAATCAATACATGTGCCAGACTATTGTGGAGGAGTCAATTCAATAATCCGTGAAGCAAGCGATCTAAAAACATCAAACCCATAATCACAGCAGCAAAAGTATAGAGCGATAAAATGGTCTGAAAAGGTCAAATATCAACACAAATTACTTTTTGTTTTTTACTCCTTGGTGTGCAATGTTTTGGCAGAAATCTTCTACAGCTCAATTAGAAAGTTCACTTTATTATAAGATTGATTGTTTAATTATGCGCCTACAGAGTTTTTGTGTACTTCTACTGCTGCACAATGTGTCGTATAAACCACAGACCATAGAAAAACATAAAATTTTAAAGGGATATTTAGTGTTGATTTGGATTGTATGTTTGCTGTTGGAGCCAGAAAATTGAAATTCTGGCAAAGATGGATAGAGCTGAAGAGAAACAAAACTCCAATTCATCCAGGCAAAAGATCTCCAAAACAAATCTGTTTCATATATTATATTATATACAGTTATAGAGGCACTGCAGCTTTAGACATTTCTTCACTGGTTTTAGTATTCAATGATGGCTGCTTGGTACAAACACATTAAAGTGCACTGGGTTTAAGTGGAGACAAAAGGTCCATTTAGTACAACAAAAGTTTCTCTATGCAGTAACAGAAAGTAATATAAAGTAGAAGAAAGGTAGGTGGCCCCCAATTGAAACTCTCTGACATACACAGGCCATTTCAGTCAACAAACACCACCCTGAAGGACTAGTGTAGGACTTGAAGTACTCTACAATACATAAGCTAGGCCCATGGATTTTATATCTTATATCTTTTTGTGTGTCACAGTACCAAAGTGGAATGAGAGTGGATGGATGAAATCACTTTATTCACACACTTTCTGCTGGAGCTACTTTTTAAAAATTATTTTTTGGAAAGTTACTGAAAGAAAAAACTCTTCAAGGGGTCAAGAGGTTCCTGCTGATGTGTAAGCTGCTTGTAATTATAAGGAAACAGGACTTGTTAAAAGGCAAATTATTGAGATACAACACAATTAACAGCATGGGACAGCATCTTACTTTGTTACATAACAGAGTAACATTTTACTAGAACTAGAGGGTCAAAGAGAGTGAAGTGAAGACAACTTGAGTTTAGTTTGGTGTTAAAAAGAAGTGGGTGGGTGCTTGATTTCACAGTCTCCTGTCCTGAAGAGACATCTGAGCTCAGAATAATTTAACATTAGGGCTCATGAACAGCTGTGCCTACGCACTCTATTTTCCTCATAATCCCCCTGCCACAGGTCACATCAGTCAATACCACACATCTGGGCCAATACTACTGGAGTTGACATAGTGTTTTAGAAATTCAGTTGAGAAGGTTATTTCAGTGTTACAGTGCACTGGATTTAAGTGGGGACAACATGCGGATTATTAACTGAAAGCAATGTTCTCTACTGTTGTAACACTACGCAGAAAATGGAAACAATGATGAGGCTTCTACCTTCACCTTGGTGTCAACCATAGGTCATTTCAAGCAGCAAACTGCAGTCTATGGTTTTTAAGCATTTTAGGACATTTCAATGTACGAAAATATCATGGTAGATAAATAAGTACTTAGCTTCTACCATCACTTGTGGCCCACTGTTTCCCCCACCGCTTACCTCTTGAAGTGGCTGAGCAGGGTGCCAACTAGCTCCCCGATGCGGCTCTCACTGGCAGGCACCATACCCTGCAGGCACACCACGAGATCCCTGCTGTCCTTGGTGTGGAACACAACCAGCTGGTCCTTACCAGGGGACACGCTCACTCCTGTCACCTGGGACAGTAGGAGAGAAAGAGAGAGAGAGAGAGAGAGAGAGAGAGAGAGAGAGGACACACAATTAAACACAGACAAACATGTACATAGAGAGCCTACAGAGAAACATGACCATCTGTATTGTAGATAAACACAAATACAGCACACCTATAGACACAGATGCACATCAGGGAATTTGAGTTGGTGCACCCTCAAAGGACATGAATTCACTGGGGTTGCTGCACCCAGCTACAATTCATCCTGTTTAACAGGAAGTAAAGAGAGGAGACCTGAGGAATTTTATGTATTCAGCAGATCTCTTGCTTTAGTGGACAAAGAAAAACCTTGATAATAAAAATGTAAAGCTTGTGTTATTTTTCCTCTAACAAAAAGTACGACATCTAATTTAATGAACTCTACAATTAAAAATGGTTCTGTGTAGCTGAATGGTGCTGCGGCCTTGCGTACTGCAACTGTGTGATATGAATAAGAATTTATAAAATCTGTAATTTGTTAATAGGCCCTTTTCAATTAAGACATCTTGAAATGTCACAAAAGGAAAAGCACAGGTTTAAATAATATAATTAATGGTGCTGAATTAAATTAGCTGCTTCAGTTTCAGGGACCTAGTATTTTGCATGCTGGCTCATTATCACGGTGTCATTGCTCGAGCCAGACAGACACTGTATGGATTAAGTTCAGCTTTGTCTTAAATTGGTTTCCCCCGACTAATTTTAGAATCGGGTTTAATTTCTGCTAGATCAGTTGTTTTTTCATGCGCAGTTTGACGCTTAAGTTCAGTGTGAGCTCCATGTCACGGCCAGTCAAATGATTCGTACAGCATAAGTATAAAAGTTTGAGGTTCTGGCTGTGCAGAAAGACTGATTAAAATATTTATTGTAAGTTAACACAGTGTACAAGATAAATAAAAATGCTCAGTGTCTACACAGCTTTACTGGGACACTTCAATAGAACGGAGCCATCGCGGTTGTTGTTAGTAACATCTGTGTCAAAATGTGTTTTGTAAATAAGAAAAAAACAAAATTGTTTCTTTAAAAGCACAAAATAATCTGCAAATACACAGCAGAGCGTAAAACACTAAATCACACGCTCAGTTCTCAGAATACAGCCACATAGTATTACCACTTTTTGTATTAATATAAATACACTGTAGTTTTGATGATTAAACATACAAATGAGTGAAATATCTAATGTTTGGTGTCTGTTTTAAAAGAAATTTAATTATTCATTGATTGACACGATGGGATGATGTACTAGGACTGGGCATTACCCCCCCTAAAAAGAGACAAAAATTTATATACACATATAAGATACAGTATAATTGCCTTATCAAAAAACATTCAAACACATTAAAATCCAATGATAAGCATGTACAATGTTGTGATGTTTTGAACAAGTTGATGCATTAGGGATTACCAACTTTAAGATATAGTTGTTTTTATTGTTACAAAATTTAAAGTATACCATTTTACCACATACCAGAGCTTTTCACATTGAAAGTCTTGTAAAGCTGAGGCAAAGCAAACATATAATACTGTAAAAAAACCCTTAAAGGCTTAAATCAGCACTTGCAGTAAAGATTTATTGATCAGCATCCCAAAGGACCAATTGAATTTACCAGTCAGAGCCCCAAACTAAATACCAAGGGAGAGCATCAAGGCTAAAAGGGGAATCCCTGTTTTGTGGTTGGATTGTTTGACTTTACAGGTCTTCAAAGTACACACAAGAGGAAGAAACCAATATCTTCACAGGTAAACACATCTCAGGAGGTAACAGAGCTCATTAACTCTACATTCCTTTCTCTTTTATCCCCGTTACTGCTCTTCCTTTCAGCCTACAGTAGCTTTCCTCACTCTCCTTTGTCACTCCCTCCCTCAGGTTTTTATCCATTTATTTCTCTCTTAATTTGTCTTTTTTTTTTATGCTGAACTGAGGCGTTGCGTGTTGAAGTAACAGCCACAGGGCAGCCAGTCATGTACATTAATATCCACTCACCAGCCTGCAACGCTGAGACAAAATCTCCATCGGGGGGAGAGCAGACAGAGACAGGTTGTTACCGGCGGCTAAACAACCAGCTAGCTTATTTAGCTCCAACATGACGCCTGTGACTTCAGAAACAAACACTTCACGTAATCACCATGAATTAAAGCCTAAAGCCAAGCCTCTCTGTCTAGCAATCCACCCGCAGTTAATTACATGGAGCCAATTACATTTACATTTATATTAAAGGCTTAATTGATTGGAACGACAGTCAGTGTTCTAATGAGCTGGGTAATGATAAATTCTGATTCGTTTCCTTGTCTAATTTTTTGTCTTGCTTCCCCAAATCAGTTTTACCCCAAGAATGAAATCTGTTGGAGGCACTTATCTGCGCAGCCATCTGTTCAAGTGTTCGCCCGTTCGACCCACACGAATGTGACAAAACTCGAAGATGAGGATACAATTCATTACTGCGGTTCAACTTATTTGTGTTAATTTGTGATGATATCTTAATGCCCCAACACACTGTGGGAATAGTGATCTTGCAGGATACTTGCATGAACTGAGATGGGTCTAATGAAATCTGGGTTGCAATCTTTGTCAGGCTATACAACACCTATTTTGAGGCTCGTTGATGTTAGATTCTACAATGGATGCCTGATTAATAGAAACAATTTTGATAGTCACTATTCATTTTTTTAAGCAAAAATTGCAAAGAAGCACCTGATTCTAGCTTCTCAATTGTGAAGTTGTTTTGCTTTTTTGGTCAGATAAAACCAACAATTTGAAGACGACAATTTGCAGCCTTAATTTGGATGCAAATAGGAAAGAAAATACTAACAGGGCCATCATCTCGTGTCATTCATCTGTACTGCTCACATAACGTTTGGAAAAAGAAAAAGTATTTATAAAAATGGGGCTTAAAATGTCGCATCAGTTGGAGCATTCTGGATTTGTATGGTTTGTAAATGTGCGTCACTACAGCACAGGTCACATTGTGAGACTTCGGTGCTAAATTTCTAACACAGCCAACCACAGATTTTGACGTTTCTGTTACAAATGTCGGCTTTTGTTGAAAGCCCAAACTTGCATAATGAATAAGGGCTTTTAGAAATTTCTTTATAGGTTGAGTGTGCAGTCCCGCCATGAAGTATAAATCTACCAGCGATGCTTTTTTTTAACACTATAAAATATGTCTGAGATTTATTTTGCACCTCACAGCTCTGCTTTTTTAAAATCACACCGATGGGCTCAAGCAGGACTTTATAATATAATAAAAGTGGACATATTTGTTCCCGTTTGACCCAGGTGGACTGCACCATTTGTGAAGTACAACTTCTTTGCTGAGGTTTTGTTTGTATTTCTAAATGCCATGTTCTCAGACAGTAACACCAGTGGGTGTATTATGGTGAAGGCACTAGTGAGCAAACTGTGCAATGTGTAGTTGTCAATATGCAGGCAGGACCACGATGGTTTTTGTCAAGTGCTCTCATGTCTGATCCACTCTGCTCTGCGGTTATCATGAGGGCATCATTTGAACAGCAGGTTCTCCCAGTGTATTCGTATAGGAACAATTTATTTGTTATATAACACATCCCACAACAGTCCTGTGAAGATGGATTTTTAAAAAGGGAGCAGGAGCAAAGCGTGGGGGCTCTGTGATTAAATGAATATAATATAATGAGCTAAGCTGTGCAGCCATTCATGTTGTGAGGCTATGAGGGCACCAGTGTGTCACTGCCGGCTCTTAGTCAGCCAGTAATGTTTGCAGGGCAACACACAGTCAACGCCCTGCAAGTTGCCTCTGAGATGTATGAATTTATTAACACAATTACAATTTATGGTTCAGCACCTTCTCATCCTGATCTCGTGTATGGTGTTGGAAGATTTGCATTATATTAGAGCTATATACAGCCACCTCCTCTGTTCAATGTATTCTTTCTACCACCTGGTTGAGTCTAAAATGATACGGCTGCACTTGTGCACCATTCATCCGAGTTTACAAACAAAGTCTATATGGTCACATTGGAGCTGTGGTAGGTGGGGAGCTGGTAGCCTGAGAAAAAAAAAAAACACAGTAAAAGGGATCAACGGGTTAATGAAAAAAACAAAACAAACCGGGCGAGAAAGAGCGCAAGGAGAGCGAGAGCCGCAGGGATCACAAATAAGCCTCACTGGGAAAAGGGAGGAAAAGAGCGCATATTCAGGAGACCGATTTGTGCCTGACCGACACCAGACATCAGCTGATCTGCCCTGCCGCTCTGTATCCATGACAACACTGTCTCCCGGGAAGTTGGCATGACAACAATGGGAAGAGAGAAGCGGCAGCAGAGGAGAGGAGCGAGGGGAAAGACAGCGACTGATAGGGAGGGGGGTGAGGCGGGAATGGGCGGAGGTGGAGGAGGAGGATGAGGAGGAAGCAGGAATAGAATGGAAAAAATGTGAAAAGAAAAGATGGTGAGAAACAGTGAGATGAGTCACTGGTGCAGAATGGATACATCACCATTTCTTCAACAGTATTTGTTTTCTTCAACAAGAAATGTAATGATCTCACTTTTGCTACACAGGCATTCATTTGCGTATAAATCCTTTTAGACAGTTGTTGGCTCAACACTATAGTTCTAGCCATCCATCAACCCAGCTGATTGCCTTTTGCAGGAGCAGCAGTAAATACACCGTACAGGGCAGCCAAAGGCAGTGTGGTGGTAGCCTATCAATGCTAATCAACAATGAGCTAACTGCTTTCCCCTCTGTTTGACCTTCTCCAATCGATAGCTCCACGTCACGCTGCTGTGGCTCTCAGCCTACAGTACATCTCTATATCTTTTCCTCCTCACTCCTCTTTCCTTCTACACCTATTCTCCACCGCCTTTGCACTTTTTCACCTTGGCCAATTCACTCACCCATTCAGCTTGACGTTTACTGAGTAAAAAAATCGCATGGTTTTACGGATCCAGCTGGGCAGCGGTTATAATCAGTGATGATTATAGTCAGTGAGAGAACATATCAAGATGTAGAGCAATTCATTATTTAATATCACCATATTCTGCACCTAGACACCTTGGATCAGGCAACTGCATACTGCTAAATGATATGATCATATTCTATATTCTCTTATTGCCAAAAAATCCCATTAAAAGACCAAAAAACAACGATTCGATTTTACTGTACAGAAAATTGAACAATATATTTGTGTTTCAGCATGCACCAGTGGGGCTGACTGTTATATACAGGGTAGAGAATTTGTAATTCTTAAGAGAAAAACTAATTCCTTGTTGGTTTTGGTCTTTTCATGGAGATCGACAAAACACTCTCAATGTACATTTCTGCATGCGAGTATTGGATTAAGACATATTTGGTAAAATGGGAACCTATCCTAACATCTCTACTCTTTCAGTAACATGCAGCTCCAAATTGCTTGGTTCCTAGTTGAGACGCAATTGTTTAAAAGCTCGCAAAAATATATAGCTGAACTTTAAAAAAAAAAGGATCAGTAATTTCCCTTTTTTAGCCAATGTTACTCAAACAGGAGTATATGGTCCCCAAATTTGTTGGGAACTATCCTCAGCTGTGTGTTTATACACATTTTGTGCATATTCACAGCATATTTATGGTGTCTGTGGGATTGACAGTATGGCTCGGGGATAACAGTGGGAGCTCCATGGCACAGAGGAAGATAAATCAGACTTTGGATACGCAGACAATACTTGTTAGTTGGATCAGTTCTCTGTTGGTTTTGGTCTTTTCATGGGATTTGTTGACAATAACAACAATATAGAGTATTTGCCAGTCTTATAGATTAAGAATGCAACAAATTCTTAATTGTTTAGATAAAAAAAAAACAGATAAAAATGTTTTCATGGTTAAAAAGAGAGTTAAAAATGGCTGAAAATGTCTCTACCCTTGAGTACATCTTTGGTTATAATGTGTATGTGGAGCTCTGTGTGTCCTGTACTAATCTTGTGGTGGCACTGTCAATGTCTGATATCTGCAAACCATACTATGTGCCACTGTGTCCTCCTACAACACTGATAGCCCCCCATATGCCTTGCGAATGGGACAGAGCCTCATCTCTCCACACTTTGTGTGTGTGTGTGTGTGATCCACTCTCTCTGAATGAACAATAACTAAAAATCTCCTTAACTCATGCTGCTCTCTCTCTACCACCATCTGTCTCAACGCCATCTCCCCATTTCACTTTCAGATGCAACTATATGGGCTTCGGGTGTCCATCCACAAGCTCTCTAATTCTCTCCTGTCACTTGCCAGATTCAACACTGGGGTGTCTTGTCACAGTTGTCACTGCACACCGGCCTAATATCTCACTCATTTCACCAGACAACGGGGGCAAATCCGCCTCAGAGATTAATATATTACACCTTCACTTCCTGTCTCATTTCTGACTCACTTCCAAGGTCAGCGGTGCAAATAAACTGGGCAGGCAATCATTTTGTCATAGCAGAGCATCATAAGAGAGATTGTTAAATCAGAAATATCATCCATAGTTCAACTGCATAAATGAGTTGGTGTAGGCTGGTTTTAGGATTAAAGTTAGACTTAGGTTTAGGTTAAATTTAAGGTAAGGAATGAGGTTAGGGAAGTGATTATGATGGTTACAGGAATAGTTTGCCATTTTGGGAAATACGCTTACTGTAAACTGTCAGATAGTATCCAGGGATTCATTTGTAGGCCTAGATTAGAGACGATCATTTATTCCTAATTTCACCTGCTTCTCAGTTAATGCAAACTCCAAACCTCCTCCACGTTTACCTGTTGTCTTGATAAATTCAGTATAATGCCCATTTCTATATCATCAATTCCATCACTACAATAGTCATGTCACATTCCCCAATTTGCTGCTCTCAGTTTCTCTTTTCTAACATTCATAAAAACTGTTAAGCTGCTGTCGGCTTACAACATTTCCCTCTGAGTTTCCAGATTAAAAGTCTTTTAGACTCACTTTTATGGGTAGGCCTTAAATGTAAAGAAACTTTGAGAAATGTTGAGTTTTGTTGATTTATCTTAGCGTAAAAAGGGAGAAAGCAAAATCTGCCTACTGTACTAGCACTTTCTTGTTTATCCAGTTTGTTTAATCTGTCCAAAAACCAAAGTGTAAAGACAAACAATTGAGGTTAAAAGGGGGTTTTAGGAGGTGTTATATTCAGGACTATTTCTTGGACAGGAATAGTGACTTCAGGTAGTGTTTGCCAGTTGTCCCCCAATGTTAAACTGTCTTTCTCGGACTACGTCACAAAAAAAGTTAAAATGACAACTCCGGCCTCTTACAAGAAGATGAAAGAAAATGAGGAAAGGAAAAAAACTGATTTCGACTGTGCTCGTGAAAGAAACAAGTAACATGAAGTCAGCATACACAAACACACAGGACACATTTACCATGGAAACAGTCTCATGTGCTGTGTGCATGTAGCCTTAATTGGCCAATCACAGTGTGAATATGAATTAAAATGATCCTATTGTAGAGCTGAATGAGATTTTTGCATATGGACATGTTGCCACATGCTCATGGGAAATCATAGATAATACTGTCACCTCAGTTTCAGGGAGACACTCAAATTGCTTCCTAGGGTTTTTTTTGGATATCACATACAGACCACAATTTGTAAATTTATAGAAATGTAAACTAATCCACAGTGTGAGAAGAAGCATGTAAAACATAATCCTATTACAGCACTAAAGTACGTAAATGTATGTGTTTTAAGGTCCATTAGTGCCTGCATGCTTTATTTACTGTTGCTGCTTATGTTTTATTGGTGTCTCTTATTATATATATATATATATATATATATATATATATATATGGGTTTATTATTTTACTCTTGTAAAGCACTTTGTGACTTGTTTTGTGAAAGGTGCTATATGAAATAAACATATTTTATTCCATTGGAGGATACATTTAAAGCTATATTTATGATATATAGAATGGTCTCTGTATAATAAGGTAGCCATTGTAATTAAACTTACCCAGAAGTAGTATAATTCAAATAAAATACAGTTAGTTGGAGTAGTGTTTAAATATGTAAATTACATTTACATATTTCTCATGGTAATCTGGTAACTGTTCAAACTAAACATAGAGAAACAGCATTTAGTTGCTCTACAGAGCTGAAACTTCCAGAGTTGCCCTGACTTTGACAACCTTTAAATCCAATTATAAAAATTTTTATGTCCTCTACTACCTTTGGCTGAACCTTAATTTTTCGTCTTGCACTCATGTTTTGACGTACTGTGTATTGATTGATCAGTTTTTGTCTTTTTAATTCAATTATGTAAAACAATGCTTCCTACTAGTAATCTCTACTGATTTCAACCTCAATGGTAGCTTTATCTGACTCATTTTATTCAGATAAGTATTCATAAGAAGAAAAGCAATGACTGGAGCAAAGTTGTAAAAAATCAACATAATTGAGTAATTTAGTTCAGTTATCTTATTTCAAATCAACTCTTGACGCCTTACATACATCTTGCAACAACTTGTGGGGGTTGGGAGCCACTTATTTAAAGCATCTTGAATTGCCTTCGTGTTTAAATAAACTTGCATTGTAAGTATTGATATGATGAGACTGTCGATTCTCTTAGTGTCACGGTTTACAAATTTTGAATAGAGGCAACGAAACACAATCTGTCAAAAGCTAAGTTTGTTCACTGCATTCATGTTATTTTCATCTAAGTATTTATATAAGAACATTATGACATTAAATTCATCAGGACACATTTTAGATGAATCAAAATATGTAACCTCTTTGGAAATCTACACCTACGCCTAATGAGGCGCCCTCTGTTTACCACCCTGTGTTTGTAATAAAGGAGGCTATAAATATGGTGTGCCGTACATTGTAGAGAGGGATGCTCTTCATGGGCTTGAACTGCTTCAGGGGGTCCATCTTGTACAGGTGGCGGTCAGTGATGAGCACAGCCCGGTCCTCTGCCTTGTGGAAACGGTTGATCTGGGAAACACAAAGCTCCTCATTAGTCACCCCACAGCATAAGTGCACACACATACTATCTAAACACCCTGTGGGGAGATGTAGCAAGAAGTACCAGAAGCAGTTGGGTTTATTTGTTCGTACAGACGGAGCCATGTTGTGACACTGTGTGCATGTGTTCAGCAGTGGATAGATGATCTAAAAGTCTCCTACCTTGCGAACATTACAGGAGAACAGAACCCTCATGAATTTGTCTTTCCGCTGCAGCTCGCTGGAAACCAGTGTGAATGATGCAGCTGTATCAGGGCTGTCTCGCTTCTGTCGGCCAGAAAAAAAGCCCACAGAAAACCTGTTTCAACATTCCAGCTTAATTTAAAAAGGAATTCAGAGACAGTACCGGCATTCAAGGTTGTGGAAAATGAGGTCCCATCTTACACACTGGGCCAGGTGATAAACTAAATTACATTATAGATCACTTACCAAACTAAATTTACTCTCATCCTAGATTCTAGCTTTCTTACTGAGAGTTAGTCTGATACTCTCATATCTGTACAGTGTCAGTAATTATAGCGTGAGCAGCTAGTTAGCTTAGCTAAGCACAAAGACTGGAAACTGAGCGAACCAGCTAGCGTGGCCCTATCCAAACGCACCTCCAAAGCCATAAAATGCCCTTTTCATTTAACAATAGAAGCCTACTAATATTAATTGTCTAAACAGACTGAACCAGACTAAGTCACCATTTTGTCTTTTTTTCTCAGTTTTCTCCTTCGAACATATAAAGACACATATATTACTGTACTCCACCCCCACTGCAATCCTAACTACTCACCACGTAGTTTCCTTCCCAGGCCCTCTGTAGACCCAAGTCAGCCCTCTGGCCCTTCAGGGCTTCCAGGCTGGCTACCTTGGCCCTCACCTGCAAGGCCTCTTCTGGAGACAGGCCTTTGATCAGTGTCCATGCCCACCACCTGGAGGCAGACACATTCAAAGACAAACACACACAAAGAGAAAGCTAAGAGCAGGGGAAAATCGACTTATTGCACATGGCTGCGCGATTTGCAGAGGACCCCAGCTGTACTGTACTGTACTGACTGGCCTTTCACTCACACATACTGACAGTCAACATCATTCTCAAGGAAGGTTATTTTCTTACTGTGCCCAGCTTCACACAGAAAAAAGCAAACAAACAGACACAGGGATGAAAGCCGATGATGAGTCTTTGATGGAGGAAGAAAAATCAATGCTCAGTGTCAGCCCAAGGCAGAAGGAAACGTGTAAGCTGCTTCAAATGGACTCATCTGGTTGTAAAAGAACACTTGAGGCCATGTGTTCTCTCCTGCGGTTGGGATCAGATCCACTTTTAGTTCAGCAAATTTAGGAAAGTGATTTTCTTCAAAAGAAAGCAATTTAAACAAATTTTATTTTAAAAAAAGGTTCTTCCTCTGCCTCCGTTTTGAATGATATAATTGAGAATGGATGGTTGCGTTGTTTAACAGTTACAAAGAGTTTCACTTTATATTTAAGCAGACCCACATAGCACAAATATAGTAGTTGCTTGTATTTGAAGTCTGTAATTTGTAGTCTTGAAATAGCAGCAGATTTACAGTAGTTCAATTTAAAGCTAAAGTAAAGTTATCTAGACAATTTTATTTTAGTACCTGTTATAGATGCTTCTGAGTGACTCTTCAAACTTGCGTAGGACTTTGGGGGGCGTGGGCCACTTCACATGCCTGCCGTAATCCTTCATGGATTGGACATTTCTGAAGCGGCGGTTGACCTCACGGATGTAGGACTTGACCTTGTAGCGTCGGTAGGCCTGCAGGATAACGAGAGCCGCTCTCATCCGCCGGTATCGCATTCTGGCTATGGTGCCCCTCCACACCTGGAGACACAGGACAATATAATAAACATGTATGTAGCTACAATTTATGCAGCCTCTGTAGATAATACATTCTGTATTTTCACATGCATGGAACACAAGGCTACTGAAAGAGGTTATTGACTTATAAGGACTGTACTGCACATAAGACTGGGGCACTTACAAGAGAGAGATTCCAAAAATGAATGTTCAAAATTCAGAAGGATTTCAGGTCTTATGCACCAGTAGAGGTGCACTAAAATCCCGGTTGCCCCGGCCTTTCTGTGTGGAGTTTGTCTGTTCTCCCCGTGTCTGCGTGGGTTCTCTCCGGGGGCTCTGGCTTCCTCCCACCATCTAAAGACATGCGGACTAGGTTGATTGGTGACCCTATATTGTCCTTAGGTGTGAGTGTGAGCGTGAGTGGTTGTTTGTCTATGTGTGGCCCTGTGATGGACTGGCGACCTGTCCAGGGCGTACCCCGCCTTGCGCCCGATGTCAGCTGGGATTGGCCCCACGCAACCCTCGACGATGGATGGATGAAAGCACAGAATATAGCTATAAATACAGCTGCACATTGCTGTAATAGCTAATATTTATAAATAATATATCATACTGCCAATTTCATTAATTTACAATTATACAAAGAAATATACATCAGGGATTGTAATGTTTGATTAACATGGATTCAGACTAAAATAAGGGCTAAATTAAGGACCTCCAAGTCTTCCTGTAACCAAACATAGGTTGGTGACTATCAGACCCTCTAAAGCATGAATAATAGATGTAAGTGGGACCCCGGGGAACCATAACTCCTGAATAACCCTCACTAAAATCCTCACCATATGCTCCCCTTGTCCTGTATTCGTTCTCTCAGTCTTACACACAAGTTCTCAATTATTTACACCTTTGACTACGTTGTACCTAAATAATCATTAATAGTTGCGTTTAGCATAACACACACAATAGTCACACAAATTAAAGGCAGTACTGCACTAGAAGCTCTCTCCACGGACATCATCTAAATGTGATGCAGAATAATCATGGAGATCAATTTAATCTTTCAAAGTGTGGGGGTGGCCAAAAGGCACAGAAAGGGATTTCTGCATATAAACACTGTGGGGGAGGTGGTTTCCACCTGAAGAGATTGGTGGTGGAAGAAGATAAGTCATGCACCACTGGGATATGGAAGCAGCAGATTAATTCATTACAAGATAATAATCTTTTAACCATATCAGTGGCAAATATGTGTTTAAGTTGTACTTTGGCATTATTTCCTCATGTGAAATGTCACCTTTTAACTAGAGGAATGTAGCTTGGAGCCATCTCCACAGGAGACTCTAAAGAGGGTGGCTTTCTGAAGAAGCTGAATCACACTGAGATCAATAAAAGAAGGCCAGTCAGCCAGTTGGTTGAATCTTTTAAGCCCTAAAATGTATGTAATCATATGTCTTGTCAGTAATCTGAGATCAGCCCTATCAGGCTAATAAACTCGAATTTGTCCCCAGGATGTAAACAGATCTAGACTAAAGCTTAATGTCCTGGTTTTGTGCATAACATCCCTAAAACGTTTTCTGTTAATTATTAGAACTGCAACTTCCACTTGGCCAAAAGACTGAAAGGCATTGCAAATCTTAATGCACAGACTCCTTCATATCAATTTCACTTTGACTTATCCTTTTTCCAAGTCTTTGTAATACAAAGCTTGTCTCACTGTATGTATGTTCTGTCACGTCTATCGGTCCAGTGAAAACCACGCATTTGTGAGGTCTTTATGTTTATGCAAAGCAACCAACATCTATTCAGTTATAAAAAACTACTGTTACTGTAAGTCTCAAATTGTGACTCTGTGAAAAGTTCCTTTTTCACAACCTGATCCTCCATTTCCTCCATGCTGCACTGTCTCTAATACATAATAGATGAGAGTGAGAAAAGAGGAACCACTACATATTCATCACTTATCGACCCCTGAGATGACTCTCCCACATGGTCAGCACGACAGCGGTGGGAGGAATGAACTGACTTTTCTGAGTGGACATACTGTTCATATCACTATTTTATATCTTTCTTAATCCATTTTCTATTAGGTGAAGGTAGTTTTTATTAAAATTTCTACTAGGATTTTATTTTATTTTATTTTTTTGCCAGGATTTTAATCTCATACTTGAAAGAAATCATTTCCTGTTTACGCTATCACTCAAGAAAAAAAGTGGAAAACTGTTAAACCTACACGGTATAATTTCATATAAACAAAACAACCATGTCGCATACATTCACTAAAAGTCATTTGACATTTAAATTGATGAAAATGAACAGCACCCTCATAGGTGTTATAGGGCAACGTGACTTAAGGTGGAATTATGGCATTATGGCAGTAGGAATCATATCACACATGTGTGCTGTACCAACCCTGTGTTTACATCTGATGTAGAATGATGATGGAAGGTTCGCATGATCATAATAATGAATATGAGACGATTGCTGTGTTGTCTAATGAGTGGAAGACTCTCTCATTCTATGTCTTTATATTTTTGATAATGTCTTGGTCCTATACATTGTTGTTGTATTAGGTTATTTACTTCATATTTCCTTAAAAACAATTGTTTTCACTATTTTTACATTTGTCTTCATTAGTGCATTCAAACAATGGCCACATGTGGTAATTACCCACGAAAGCACTGACTTGATATTTAGTGTAATATTAGAATATTTACTTCTCTTCATGAAGTAATTCATTCTATTGCCATTGTATTTATTAGTAGATTTCTGAAACATTAAACATTGGTACTATGATTTGTTACCGTTTTTTGCTTAACGTTATCTGCATTCAGTGTTTAATTTCTTGTCTACAGTTTTTCACTATAAAAGGTTTGTCTCACAGGATATGTTTATCAATTTTAAATTATATTTAAATTATATCAAGTGTAAGAGATTTGGCTTCCCTTTTGATTGTTTGTTGCAGCTGACTCTAGTATAAAGATGTTGTTTCATGTTTTGGTACCAGATGAAGGTCATTGACAAAAATGTTTTAATAAACTCACTGACAGTGAAGCAATTAAACCTCTTTTTTTCTGTGAAAACAAGCGATAACAAGTCAAATAGTGTTTAACAATCTGCCAGTTATATAATAATAATAATCCTTATTTGTAGAGCACTTTTCAAAAACAAGTTACAAAGTGCTTTAACAAGTGTAAAGAATAATACAAAAAAAAGATAAGAGCATGAAGAGCGAGTTATATCTGATCCAGCAACTGAACAACTCTATAATTTACTTTATTCATTCTAAAATAGTCTCTCAGCATATAAACCACTCATGTACCCCTCAACCCCCACACACACACACACACACACACACCCCATGTCTCACCCCATATGTGCTCATATGATACACAAAGTAACAGAGCAAAAAATGGATCCAAATAGGGTTTTCAGTGTGAGCTCAGTTAAGATGTCGCCTGCATAATATCCACATGGTGCACGAGCCTACGCCAGATCAACAACTGTGTTTATCTAAGCTACAAATCACTAATTAAATTGTAAACGACTGAGGCTGGAGGTAAGAAGCAAAGCGGGGAGGCGGGGCGGGGTACCATAAAACAACAATGAATCCGATAACGGCAGACACAAACTGTCTTCTAAGCCTCATTACGGTGTGCGACAGGTGGAAAGTGGCGAGAGGTTAGAATTATGATGCAGCCATCCAGCCACCCACACACGCAGGCACAAACACACACCATAAAACACATCTTCTGCTCCTCAAATGGCAAAGCAGACTGGCTGTGATGACGCTGGTGAGCTGATGAAGATGACACTCGGGGGAATGAGGATAAATCAGGCCAATAACAAGGCCCCTGACGGTCTGCCCCCTTACTCTCCTTGGCCAATAAAGCCATCTGATCATCCTTTTAGAGACTCTGCCATCATGGAGCCTGCCCTCAAGCTCCGGGGGCCTGGGATTTACGAGATCATCAAAGCCAGATTGGGGATCTTTCTTTGCAACAAAGCGGGACAGATTGCTGGGGTTTTATTCGGGGGGCCCGGCTGGTTTGAAAAGCATACTGGGTAAAAAGCATCACAAATCACATGTTCCAGGGCAAATGGTGCGAGCTGGAAGGTTTTGTTTGAGATGTTGAGCAGACCAGAACACAGATTACGCAGGACCCATTACTGGCTATTGATGTTTTAATCTTAAAGTATTGGGACTGTAGCTCTAATAAAAGGCCATTCACTGAACTGCAGAGTTGGCAATTTGAAAGGTCCAATATAAAAACAACACCAACCGTGTTGTCACCTAGAGGGCAGACACATATGCCGGTCTGCACTATTGACACACTTTACTGCAACCCACGTCTGAATGCCTGAGTTTCCACATCCTCTGGGGATATTGAGCTGGTTTTCCAGTGACATGCTCGATACACACGGTGGGCGGAGGGAGGCGGAATCAAGAGTGTGTGACACAATTTAGTGAGGCTGCAACGTGCTCTGACCACAGGCTGTCATTGGGAGACATCGGGCCAAGGCACAGTCCAGCAGTCATTATCATAAATCAATAAAGTGCTCGGGTGAGCAGCTCACACTCACCAGTAACACTAACATATTATCCAGACACTGATTGTCATTCCTTCAATCATGTCTCCCAGGATTATGTCATTTTACATTTTTTTGCTCTGGGCTAACGCAACGATGTGAAACAAACGTGTTCAAAGTCATCTTGAACAATACTGTCAAATTAGAAGAGACAGTATTGAAGAGTAAATTGAATGGCTCTGGATGGTCTATACATCAATTAAATGGGACAGGACAAAATAGATTGGAAGAAAATTGCCAGTGGTCAGCAGTATACGCTACACACACTATTCGTACAAGCTTGAGGGCCATACAATGAAAATCAACTTATTGAGGATGTACAGTATGAATACAGTATACTATCCATCAACTAAAACCATAATATAAAAGAATGACAAAAGAGTCAGCTAGTTATTATAGTGTCAGTACAGGTCTTGTGCGTAGAATTATGTAAATACGTT